AAAAGATGTCAAAGAGCGTGAAAGCAGGTTGGTATTATTCTTATTCATGTAACGTCCGTTTATTTCGCTCGATAATTGATTGCTGACAACCAACCGCCTTTAAAAAAACCCAAGGCCTCACATTTCCAGTAGGTCGTATGGGACGCTTACTGAAAAAGGGTCGTTATGCTGACCGTGTAGGTGCAGGTGCACCAGTATATCTTGCCGCTGTCATAGAATATCTCACTGCCGAAGTTCTCGAACTTGCCGGCAATGCTGCGCGCGATAATAAAAAACAAAGAATCATCCCTCGACATCTTCAATTAGCCATACGAAACGACGAAGAATTGAATATTCTCTTAAGGAACGTCCATATCGCCGAGGGCGGCGTGTTACCAAACATCCATATCGAACTATTGCCCAAGAAGAAGGGCGAGAAGCCTGGTCAACCATCTCAGCCAACTCCAAAGAAATCTACGCCGAGCAAGGCTGGAAAGACAACCACGGCTGGAAAAACTACAACAACAGCAAAATGATGACTATGTTCTTCATAGGGATTATAATAAGATTAGACAAGAAAAAAGAAAATGTATTAGGGTGGTCGGTTATCGGAAAAGGTCTTTACGTGGCAGAAGTCTTTTTCGCTTTTATTCCTTATTGCGGATTTTGGTCTTTACACTCTCGAGAGTATATATATATAAACTTGGTTGATGGATAATTTGATATAAAGATTTTTTCTTCTTGTTTCATCCTTTCCCCCCTTCCTAATGTAGAATAACAAATCTGCCAAAAGGATTTTTTTTTTCTTATTCAACGTACCTTTTTAGCGATGGCGATACAGCTACATAAAGATGTCTATTCACGCTTAGAAACAATAAAATGAGACAATGAACTTTCCAATTAGGACAGTCGGGTTATATGACTGCACGATGGCTTTCATGTCTTTATTTGACTTATGACGTCTGTTTGTTATATTACGATCTCTGATCGGAGATCTGTCTGCTCTTGCAAATTGTCCACGTGAGCAAGAAAGATTTAATATAATAAACCGAGGAATCAAAGCACAGCATAAAAATCCTCGATCGCAAATACCTCGATAGTGGTTGCGATCGATTTTTTTTTTTTTACCTAATGAGCCGGTTATGCTTGGGCGTTTACGCATGAGCTTTCGTTAGAAACCTTTCCGTATCCATGTTCCATGTGATCTGTGTTAAAAATGCCAAATTCGGGGGATGGCTAAAGCGGGGGCAAATCACGTGGTTTTTACGGAATTTTTCGGAAGTATCGAAAGATTATTTGTGGCC